GTAAAAAGACTGGCAATTATATACATCAGAATTAGTTTTACACTGAGCAGTTGTGAATGAACAGAATAATGATATACTTTATTTACAAAGAAGAAAGATGATAAATATTTTCAGTCATAGTTACTAATAGATAGCAATAAGATGTTGAAATTTCAATATCATCAAAATATGTCTGATTAAATACTGTGCAAATGACTACCAGATGGTCAAGAAACCAAGGTGGCAGCCTACCGCTATGGAGAACCAGAGATTAATCGGATGGGTTGAAGAAGCCCCAGGAATTTTATGGGGATGCTCCATCTGGATATGTCAGGCTTGTTAAAAAAAGACCCTTAGTACCTGAAGAGTGGAAAGAGCTAAATTTGTGTAAGTTCCCCATCTTCATAACATCTTATTAATTACATAAATACTTTTATAACAAGCTTAAATTTTATTTTAGACAAAAACAAACTGAAATCAAATTAATTTGAACTTGCAGTACATTTAGAAAATTTGGATAAATAGAAATTTTAAGTTTATTACATTCCAGACAGTTAGGTGGAATGATTATGTAATTGAGGCTTGATTAGGAATTTATATATTTTTTGGGAGAAACTTGATAGCAAGAACATTTTTAATATTCTGGAATTAATGGTTTAAATCAAATTTGTGTCACTGTTTAGAAATAAATTGGCAATTGACTACTGTATTTTAAATATAACACTCCTCCACAGGGTGGTGCATGTGAAATTTTCGTGTTACTACTTGGTGCATGCAGCAGAGAGACCAATGTACACATAAACCATCAGTACTAGTTGATTGTGACTGTTTTGTTGACAGCATATGCAACACACGTGAATAATGTGAATCTATTGCATTTTTTACCATACAATACCAGGTACAAAATCCACTAATCCAATGTTATCTGGTCCGATATATGTTAGAGTATGGAAACTATTGTATCTAGTTGTATCTTAACTGACAATCAACATTTTTACTCTTCAAGAACTAATTATTTGTATAAGCAACAATGTAGTTGCAAAGATTTGAAAAAAAAATTATAAAAAATGCAATTTTAAAATAATCCCTCTAAGGAATTTATTAAATTATTTTTAAAAAATAGCAGTTGGCATGATAAGAAACCAGATATTTTAGTTTTATAGATGTATTAAAAAATACAAGAAATATTAAAAATTTGACAAATTTATGTAATTTTATATAATTTTTTTGATGACCGAGAGGTTAAATGCGACTGCATACTGCTTGGGGATCTGGGTTCAAATCCCCAGGAATTTTTTGCAGGTGATGTCCAGTGCCAGACCTTCACTCAGGCCCGGCTAAACCCATAATGGTCTTGCTAAGAAAATACCTTAGTGTCCACAGGGCAGAGAGTAAAAAAAAATTCCACTCTGATCACTATTGGAACAAGCATTTTTAGTACCTTAACCACTCTGCAGTGATCGATGGATATACCCATCAAGAGTGATCACATGGCACTGGAGAACAACATCTATATCTGCAAAGATATTACCAAAAATTACTGTGAAAAAAATTCACATAAAAAGGAATTATGTGACAATAAAAAAAGATTTTTCTTTACTAGACATAACTGTTTAAAAAATAAAAAAATTTTTTCAAAACGGAAACAAGAAAAACGCATGGGAAAATTCTTAAAAAATTTCCCACATTTATTCTCCACTACATCGTGATAGCACCATATCTGACTAACCCTCTCTACAAAGGTTAATGTACCAGCCAAATCTTTGCACAATTTTTAAAAGGGTATGGGTTTTAAAAAAATTTTTTCATAACTTAACCTATAAGAATCTGAACTCACAACATAATGTCTTGACAATACAACTTTGGGAGCAGATTGTCTTTTGACAGTTATTTGACAATGTGAAAGTTAAGTTCTCAGCATGGAAAGTGACACTTTCTTGTAACCTCCAGACATCCATCATTTTAATATAACAACTAACGGACAGTCACCAGCCCCTCAACAGAATATCATCTCCTGCCAATAATGAAATATTACCTCCTCCAGTTCGTCTCCAATTACATCCTCTGGTCCCAGAAATTTCCAACTCCTGTCCCAGATAGAGCCTTCCATACTTCAAACTGTTCCAGGTGTGCTCAGAACTCTCCAGGGTAAAATACTCTAAAGACGATTGAACAGTCATTTCATTTACAAGCAGCTCTCTTCTGATTTATAACATGATTTCGTGTAAACTCTCTCGTGCACACATGAAACACGTCAATGTCACTCTCATATCCAATGTCTAATTGTCTCGCTACTGTTAGCCTGTAGATCTAGTAACAAAAAATAAACGGGTATTTGTTTTGTTAACCTAGTATCCGATTGTCTTGCTTCCAACACTGCCTCACTCGCCTCCATTCAAATCCGATTGCGCCATACATGGCTCTTGCGTGACCTACTTTCAAACCAAAACAAATTCGCCACCACAGCTTCCATGTTGCACGAGACATAGTGATGTCAGTCCTGACGAGGCATCAAAAAAGTGCTGACCCTCCAGTCACATTGTAAAAATTACTAAGCTATACAAAGAAACAATACAGCAGATTGAGTACAAAAATAGTTCAATGTACTGTTTAATTTTATTTTTGGAATTGAGAATAGTTGAAGATAATAAATCATAATTTTAGATTGACAAATACGAGAACCAAAATAGACCTTACTTTCTTATAGATAAACTGGACAGAGGAATAAGATATCATTTTAATTAATTAATTTAATTAGTTTGTTGGAAACAAATAGCTTTAAATTATAACAAGAAAGCAGATGATAAAACAGATTAAATATCGAAATTTTGAATTATATTGTCTCTTTTGGGTTTCATTTCCAAAGCAAATTCATTAATAATTGGAAGAATCAAGAATTTTGTCATACTTATAAAATGATATGAAGAGGACCATTGTCTTTCATATATGTTCAAAATTTCTGTCATATCTTTGTCATACCATTTTGTTTTTTCATAAACAATAAACTTTGTTCATTAAGATTTTGTATGTGTGTAATTTCTTCACACACAAAGAAACTAATAATTGTAAATTTAGATTGATTATATGTGGTATTTTAGAGCAATTTATGCAACACACTAAACTTTGCACTGCAAAACATTAATAAAGTTTAATTATATAATTTTGCCATAATTCCTAATTTAGACAGGATGCTCCCATGTTTGAGTTTTGTCCCCCACTGTCCCTGAAATGTTTGGTGGGATGTTCAAACTAGGGTTTCTCATTTCCCGGTCTTTTGCTTGTCCCGGGATCCCGGGATAGAAGTGAATTGTTTCCCGGGATCCAGGGAAATCCCGGGATAGAATTAATTATTTTTAAGGTATACAATATATCTTGAAATTAAATGATATAATTATTTTCCATTTTTTAAAGTAATTTTAAAGTTCTGTAACCTCCAAAATCATATTAATAATGCTGTGTAAGGTCTATAGGCCTATAATAAAAATTACCTTTAAATAACGTAGAAATTTTCACAAATAGAAAAAAATTAATTAAAGTTTGCTGGAAACTGCATACAACAACAACAAAAAAAATGTTTTGAATTGAGTTAAAAATTAAAAAAAATAAACTTCTAATTTAGAAGGTAATTTTCGTTTTTTAAATAAAATATAATACAAAATATTGCAAACTTTTATAAGATTTTAAAAAGCAAAGATGGTCAATACTCCGATAACTCACTCTAATTCTTATTTTAGTAATGAAAAGTCTTGCCACCGAGAATGCCCTTTCCGATTCAATTGATGTGATTGGAATAGTGTTTAATGCATTTAAGAGAAGACAGATATTATGTGTTTTTTCACCTGTAGCCTGGAAGATTTCGAGTTCGTTTTCGAGATTGTAGTACTTCTTTCGCTCTCTAGTATTCTTGATTTGTCTACCTTGGCTGCTTTAATAGCGGCATCAAGCTTAGAGCTCGATAATTCGGCAATTCATTTGGCTTTAATAATCAGGTTTATGAAGAAAAACTTCATACTTGCAGACTTTGTACTCGTTTGTATCCTTGCCCAATTTGCACAATCTGGCGTCAGGCATTTATTGAAGCTACTGGGCATGGTTAAAACTCAAGACAGCGTAAGCACAATTATTCCAGATATTACAGGTTCCGACAAGTAAAGAATTTTTATAGTCCTGCCACAAATAAGCTATATATTGATTATTGACCATTTGTGACATGCTATAACGAGCAAAAATTTAAAAAAAACTAATAGGTAGGTTTAAAATTAATAAATACAAATGTATTCTGACAGTGAATGAGTTAATTATGCTTTCTATTTGCAAAATTCCTCAACCTTAACGCAAAATAAGAAAAAAAAAATGAATTTTTAAGAAGTTTGCAGGATTTCCCGGGATAAGAAAAATTTCCCGGGTCAAAAAAACAACCGGAATACCGTTTGAGAAACCCTAGTTCAAACATCATGCTCATAAAGGTAAGCTTTCAACACCCCTTGATTTGCCAACCAGACAACGCTAATGGATTGTGTGGCAGGGCTTCCCGACGGGATCAGTATTGACCCCTTAGGGAGTCGATAAAACTTTGGCATAATAATAATTCAAAATCTTTTCAATATATGCAGATTTATAAAATAGGACCAAGTTGCTTTGGAAAAGTTAGTTGTAAAATCAAACTTTGTAGCATATTGAAAGTGCTGATATTCAATATTAATCTATTATATTCCCATTAATTTTACTAGATTTTTAATATTTAAAATTTGGAAATGTTTATTCTATTAAAATAAACTGATTTTTATCTAAATATTTTTAACCAGAAGTCTTAAATTTGGTATAAAATTATGTTTTTTTCACACTGAATTTATTAAGAATTTACTGAAAAATACATTTTATTTCTAATATCACCATATGTGAAAAAACTAGAACTATCTCATTTAGTGATGATATATAAAGCATAATGAGTGTGCCTTAACTCATTATGCCTTATAAAGCTATTAATGGTGTAACAAAGTTTTTTTAAAAAAATCTAAAAATTACAAAAATGAATTAAAGATTTTATTCCTTTGCCATTTGGAAAATTACAATAATATGTGTATAAATGGAATATCAATATACATGTAAAAGTATTACTTAAATCAATGCTGAGTAACAGAATATAATTGATTTACTAGGCACAACAAGTTACAATTTTAAGCAATTATTGTAAATTGTGCAAACTGCAAAGAATTACACATTGACAAATTTACAAAATTGTTTAATAGAAAGAGAAATGATAATTTTAGGAATTTTATATAATCTAAATTTTATTTTAATCTGCATGGATTATTTATATCATCAATCGTCACCATGTCCAGTTGAACAATCTGAATAAAATTAAAGATCGTACAGGAAATGATTAAAATTTATTCTTCCGACATTAAGATCAAAACATTTTAAAAATATTTCTTCAATTAATTAACATTTACTTTTGATAGTCACGCACTTTTCTTTTAATTATCAAAATATATGGACTTTATATTGTAGAAAATATTATAGCTGGTCCATTTTCTTCTCTTATTTTCATTACATAGATTTTTAATTTACACATTAATTACAGAATAAATTGAATTATAAATTTACATTGAAAAATTCTGTGTATAATCGTATTCTATTGTCGGAATGACGGCTTGTACAAACTTAAGAAATATTATAAGATAAAGATGAACGCCCAAATCTCCTCCTCCTTCTGTCACTGTCTGTATTATTTTTTTCATAACTTCGGCATGCCTAAACAATATGATTATTTATCTTAAATAATACATTCTGTATATGAGTTAAAAACGTCCGTTTTATTTCTAAAATAAGAGTATGAAAGTTTGCAAATCTGATTTTTAAATATACTTCATAGAATGACATACCTGCAAGGATGAACAGAAGCCATTGGAGGTCCAGGTAAGTGAGGATGACTTTCCATTGTAACTGTCTTTTTTGCATGATCTTGACTAATATCTTCATACATTTCTTCTATTGTAAGAGGTTTTCTATTCTATGAAAATTAGAAAATAGATTTAAAAATTCAGTTTTAATTTATTAAATTAATTTAATATATTCAAATTTCAAATTTGTTATTGTTTCCCTGAAATTTGGATTTCAATTAGTTTAAAATATTCAAATTTATACTAAAAAATTTTCCTTATAAGTCAAAGCTAATGCTTTCTGAGTTTCGTAATGAAATTAAAGTAGCATATGGTTGACTGGTTTATAGAATGCAATTCAAGGATTTCTCAAAACAGCCTCTTCTGAAAACTCCTGATAAACAATAGAAACTTACAGAAAACTAGTTTAATTTCAATTTCTGATAATTCAAACTTTTCTTAATTTGAACAGAGTTGATTGTATAATATAACTTAATATGTAATATGAATGATGATGTAATTTATTTGATCGGTTTTAAAAAATACATTAAATTTTAACTTATTTTAGATTTAAAAAATGAATTTAGGAATTAATTCTTACAGAAAATTTTAAAAATTATGTTAATTTTATTAAAAATTATTATATTAAAAACAATTATTAACAAAAAACATAATTTTGTTTAATTTTCTGTAAAATGTAATAGATAATACTGCTTATTATAATTATAATAATTAACATCTTTAATTACATTCTTATAGCTTGGAATTATGATTTAATTATTCCATTTGTAGATTTCATAATTTTGAAAGAAAATTTTAGATACACACAACACTATGTATGTGGTTATAGGACAGCTTTTGTATAATATTACTGAAGTTTCCAAATTTACAACTATCTTATAAACATTCAGATTCATATAGTACTAATAAAAGTCTAAACTGGAACTTCAGGATATGAAAACACTAGACACACCTTGCATTTCCAGTATAAAAATTTTAATGAAATGAATGTTAAAGGTTTGCTTGATAAACCTTCCTCAGGTTACTATTACATAAAATTAAAATCTTAAACCTGGGGTTTAAACTATGTTCTGTAATGGTGAACCTGAGGAAGGCTTATCAAGCAAGCTGAAAGCATTTGTTTCATTATGCTGGAAATACATGTAAGGTGAGTTTACTTCTTTCATATTTAGTACTGTTCTGAATTAAAAAAAAATTACCTCATCATAACCAAATAACCACAGACGAGGAGTTTGATAGTATTTATCATAGGTAATATTTAAATCATATGTTCTTGTCTGTATGATTCCATCAGAAGGACTGGTTCCCACCTCTAGAGACTGCAGTTCCTTTTTCGTGGTCATATTATCGAGAGTTGCCTAGGAAAAAAATCTTCAAGTTTTCAATTCACTGTAACATTAAAATTTTTGAATATCGTAATTTGATACTGTAGTTATTCAGGATGAATAAAATCTCACTTTATCATCCAATAAAAAATATTTATTAGATAAATTTCTTCTTTATAGAAAAATAAGATTAAAAGGTTTTTTAATCTGAATTTGTGAGAAAATCTAGAAAATTACATTGTGAAATATATATAAGGCATGGCTAAAAAGAAAAATTTTTTAGTCATTTATTCTTTTACATATAAAAATTCCAATAACTGTCTCCTTCAAAGTATTCTTCAACTGAGTTTATGCAGCACTCCATTCACAATTTCTGTGAAATAAAATAATGACAAAAGTCTCTTGAAGATAGATTCCATTACTAGAAACTAATGAGCAGAATCAGCCAAAAAGGTAATGCTGAAGAGCCATCACCAGGTGGGACTAGTTTATGATCCATCACTGGATTTGATCCCCCAATAGAAGTCAAACACATTGCTTTTGGAAACCTTAATCCTAACACCAAAAGCAGAGTTCTGTTGCCAGGACTCCTTAGCTACCATTCTCATAAGCTTATTTTAAAGAATCACATCACTGATTTTCAAGACATGTTTTAATTGATTAATAGGACTGCTTGCAATGAAATGAAAAGGTATTTGTAACAGAAGAAACAAGTTGCAATACAATATGAATATTGATGATATGCACAGAAAGAGAACAGTAGGTAGCAATCCTCTTTTTTTTAGCCACATCTTATATATATATACAAGGCATCCTGAAATGGACACAGACTTTCAAAAGAAAATCTTAAAAAACAGAAAAATTTTTAGTCTCACTGCATATTTGTGACAGGGAAAAAAATTAGTGCAGAAGCTGTTCTGGTGTTATTCATGGATTCATCAATGCATGTGTGTGTACATTGATTCTCATGTGTGCCATGAACAGTGTCCTGATGTGTTTCATGCAAGACAGTGAGAGACCTCATTGGTCTGCTGAAGTTTTGATTTCATGTCTGCAGCAGACCAATGAGGTCTCTTGCTACCTTGAATGAATCACAATGTCTGCAATGAATCATCCAAGGCATATTTCAACATAGCATGATGCAGTGACTGTTTTCCACATGAAAACTGGCCCAATGATCCCTCTGCTGGAAACAGTGGCCCATATGGTCACTCTCTCTGAATGAAATGTTCATAGCAAACACACATTTGGATGTTCTGTTCCCCATAAATACTAATTTTATTCATTGATTAATCTTTAATTTTATCTCTTGTCACACCAATATGCAGTAAGAATAAAATTTTTGTCTCTAGCCATTTTTCAGACATTCCTTTTGAAAGTTGGGGTGTCCATTTTTTAAGATGGATACATACAATTAGTATAACATTATTAATATGCATTTTATATAGTAAAGATAATTATATAAAACTTTCAACATTTATCTTATGTCCCTGCTAGTCATATGGGATAAAGTAAACCATAGATAAACAAATGTAAATCTTGTATTATTTACATGCATTTATCTATCTGACTAGTAAGAAGACAAATCTTGAGTTTTATATAATTATCTTTACCATAAAAAATGCATTTTATACTAATTATTAGTACAATATACAAAGTATCTATTCTTGTTTAAATATAAGTAATTTTTGTTTTTACTTATTTTTACAAAAAAGTTTTATAGATATAAATTTGTATAGAGTTTCTGATATAATTCTTTTATGTTTTATATTTATGCACATTTGTGTGTAAAATATATACAGTATTTATAATAAGAAAATATAAAATTTTTCTTACAATAAATATAAATAGGTTAAAAATATTTTCTTCTTAATTTCTATGAAATTTTGAAAATTTCAGACTAATTTATCAATATTCTCTTATATCTTGTGAATGTTATTTTTCTGTGAACAAATAAAGATGTATTAAAATGATATTTTTAATAACAACTTTAAAATATAGTAAATAATACTGAATTTTCTAAGAGGTAGAGAGCTGAAACTAAAATCAGAGAAAATAACCAAAAAAACTTTTATATTGGATTGAATAAAGTAAACAATAAACAGATTGCTAAATTTCTTTTGGAATTAGCACAAGGTTGCTGTTGAGAACAAATCACAGAAGAACTCTTTTTTAGAGTGGAAAAAGTAGGTTTATTTTCCATAATTTAAAAAGATATGCATTTCAAGCTTAATGTCCCTCTTCAGTCCTAATATTCTAGTGACAGCTGGAATAACTAAATTATTAAAACCATGGGTAAAATAAGTGAAACTGTAGAAATAAAATTATTTTTGTTAAATTGTATAAAATTGTGGGCTAGTATAAATAAAACTGCAAAAGAAACTTTTTTTTGCCAGTTTTAATTGGTTTTAAGGTTTTTTATGTTTTACTACCTTTTTAATCAAAAAGTTTTTTGATTAAAATACAATGAATTCAGAGAAAAGTATGCAATCAAGTACTAAGATTGTTAAATATTTAATTTTCAGAATACCTCATCAACTGTGTCTAGCATTCCACTTTCTACAAAAGCATCCATATCTTCGGCCTCTTCATCCTCATCATCCTCATCGTCATCATCATCTTGTTGAGCATTGGCAGCAGTTTGAGATGATGCCTTAAAATATATTTTATTATATTAACAATAACTTTATTAAATTTTTAATTTATATTACATATAAATCATTTTGATTTCAGAAACAAAACTACAATTAGTATAAACTAATTGTAGTTTTAATAAACTTAATAAATCATTTTGATTTCAGAAAACTACAATTAGTGTAAACTAATTGTAGTTTTCTGAAATCAAAATGATTTATTAAGTACTTAAATATCTTCCAACTTCATGGAATGCAGCTTCTGAAGACAAAAAATTAAAAATTTTTATCTGCACAAACAATTTATTTTGTAAAAATTGCCAAATAATGTACTGTATTATAAAATCTTCAAGCTATTAAATGTTAACAAAAAGAAAAAGCATTTCTTATGTTGTATTTTAGTTTTCATTAATGTGAGTGTATTAACCATCTCTTTAAAATTAAATTTCCTTCATGTTATTTTTCCTCTAATTTTTTTATTAACTATAACAAAATTTACTATTAACAAATTATTCATAGCTCAAAATTTAAAGCTTTTAGAGCAATTTTTAATGAAAATCTATCTTCTGAAGCTGAACTGCAGGAAATTACAGTAAATTCTTTTAAACTTTTATTACTGAAACTAATATTAAAAAATTAAGTATAATTAAACAGATACTATTTATTATCAATATGGAATGCTTATTTCAGGTAGACAAATCTTTAATTTAACAAAAAGGAATGTTTTTGTCGTGTTTTAGGACAGCTTCAGCTTCCAAATAACTATAATTAATATAAAAACATGTTAATATAAAGGTGTTTATGTATGGTTTAAAAAAATGCTTTTTTTAAACCATACATAAACACCTTTTAAGTTCTATTCTAAAAAAATGCTCATGAGAATTTTAAGGACTTGTTACATCAAAGAAAAAGAGTGCACAAAAACTAGAGGATACAATGGTCCAATGCATATTTTTAAAAAAATGTTTTTGAAATGTATGTTAACAAAATTAAAAATAGAATAATAAAAAGTATACAGCAAGAAAAGGAAAAAAAATTGGTTATTAACATGTTCTTATTAATTAAATAATTAACCAAAGAAACTTTAGAAAAATGGCTTAAATTAGAAGATCAAAAAATAGCAATTGATAAAAGTGATGTTAAATATATTAAGTTACTTTATGAACGAAAATTATTTGAAATAAATAAAAATATTGTAAAAAAAGGAAAACAGTATTAATACTGGAGCGGAGCAAATAAAGTATGTAAATTATCAGGATTAAAAAAGAACACATGTACAATCTTTTGAATGTAACTGTAATAATAAATATAAAGAAGTAAAATGGCAAAACCGTATTTGGGACAAGACTATGTCTCAGAGACTCACTACTAAGCGGAATCATTTTGACGCTCAAGGCGGGTCTCGTTCTCATTCTCTAATCTTCTTTGGTATCACTGCTTTTGGGCGTGATCATTCAAACTTTGCCTGCCACAACCATGAGATCTTCCACGATGCATTTTCGATGAAATTAACCTATCCAATTTTGAAATTTCTCTCTGTTGCATGTCAGCCCGGGTTGAATTTTTGTCAACGTGTAATAAAAATTTCCCGTTTTTGAAAAAATAATTGTGGCTATTGTATCATTCAAAATTATTTTTTTATTTTGCACAAACACTATACAGTTTAACCCAATTATAATGTCATTGGATGTAACGCCAACCCTAATATAACATCATATTTTTATCAGTCCCACGGTTTTACTATACTAAATAATGTTAAAAAAAACCCACTCGTAACAACATAAAACCGTTTTAACGTCATATTTGAAGCACTCCCAAATTTACAAAATTAGATTACAAATTTTATTTAACATAGAAGAAACTATGTGTTTAGTCCTAAGGTCAGAGTTCACTTCTTAGAATGACTGTGGGTGGTACTCTCCCCCACCTGACTTCGGTGGGGTGAGGTGCCTGTTTTGCCTGTTTGTAAAAGAGGGTCGCCATTTTGTATTTTATTTTGACTCGGTTCCGACTACCTACAAATCTGGATTTTCTTATGCACAAATGATTTGGGCACATAATACTCTGTGCCAAATATCAATCTCTCGACATGTATTCCTTTATACCTCTATGCTGGTAACATAAAACAGCAGTACGATTTTATAAACAAGACATAGTTTTGTCAATATGTATCTGTAGGTAAAATGAAAAGAAAACTAGATATAAGAATTTTGAACATATTAGAGCAATAAAATATAATTACACTAACTCAGCAGTGGCAAAACACTGTCAACAAAATGGCTCTGAAATTAATTTAAAATCAGTAAAAACTAGAAAAAAAAATGAAGATAATTATTATAAAAGACAGTTATAGAGACATTTTAAAATATTGGAAATAAAATAAATGATAATTTAGGATGAATTACAGATAAATGGTAGTATCCAATACTGGGGTAGATGCATGCAAGTAGATTAATTTAAAATTAAATAATGGTGAAATTGCTCATATTCTTCTATGTAAAACTTTGGTTGATATTAGTGCTCTTTTAAGTGTTCATATTAAAAAAGGAAAAAGATATGGTGAATCACTGTGGGCAAGAGTTTTTCTAATAGCTGATTTTTAACAGTTTTATCATAAATTAAAATTGTTGTAAAATATTTTTTGAATAGTTGTAATCCCTGATTTTATGTACTATTGGATGTAATAATCTACACTGGCATTTTTACATGTGTATGTAAAAAAAACTATTGGCTCTCATGGATAAGATAATTTGGAAAATAAAATAATTTTTCAAATTTTTTTTCTAATTTTTGCAAAATAACTAAATTAATTTTCTACAGGAAGATTTGATAATTTTCTGCTGAAGAATGTTAATTGTGTATAAAACCAAATGTTTTATTGATAATCATTATTTTAAGTTTACATTTCAAAATTAAGTATGATAAAATAACATTGATTAAAATATAATGCAGTTGTAATTTATACAGTCAACTTACTTTGGTATCCAATGTCATTTCTTGAATCTGTTCAGTAACAGCAGGCAAACCACTCTCTAAAAGATTAAATAAAAAGTCAAATAATATTTGAAGTTAAAAAGTGTTGTTGCAAAAAAATAATGAACCCAATTTAGAGAGATTTAAAATATAAAATTGAAAGAGTATATATCTTTTTGTAAATACACATTTTCTCCCATAACAATTTTAAATGACAAATTATTAGCAAATGAATTTACCTGCATAATGGTGAGTGTCGACCCACCCACCATCTTCATCATCTGCTTCAATTACTTTTTCTTGCTCTTCTGAATATTCCATTTGTTTACAACGTTTATAACATGGAACTTTTAAAAATATATATTTTGTATCAGATGTAAATGTAAAAGAAATATTTCTCTCTTACAGAGTATTAGAAAAATTATTTAAAAACTTTTACTAATTCATTTTTATATCATTACTATTTGAACATTTGAATTTATATTAAATTTTTAAATGAGTTTAATTTAATGAATTTTAACTTTATTAAAATAAACTAAAAATTTGCGTGTTTTATTTAGCCATTATAGGTATAACTATCAAAATATTTTTCCTTTAAGCAGGTTTTCAGTCTGTCACATTATAATAAAAAAATTTTGGTACATTTGTTAGTTTTGAATAATATTTAGGAGTGCTACCACAATCCAAAAAAAATCACTATGTCACAATGCAAAGCACAGGACCACTCACTGTTGAAACAAAAATCATATGTAAGTACAGCAGTAAGAGCATAATGTCAAGTCTTACTTGTGACATTATTAATTAATGTTAAAAGTATCAATTATAAATTTTAAATGCTTAGTCTGTATTACTTTGTATTTTGCTTAACGTAAAGAAAATTTAATGTTTCAAATTTTGTTAGTAACCTCTAAATTTTGGCAAATTTTGGGATTATTACTTTTTTCAATATTGGAACAAGTTAGGCAGTTGCCCCTATACAAACTACAACTTTTATTTTTAGTCCCTATAAGAAGAACCAACTTATATATACTGTAAGATCTCTTTTTATGCGGATTATTTTTATGTGATTTTGAAGTTGTGCGGTTTGTATTTCATCCAAAAATTTCTTGGACAAACATACATATAGACTTGTTTAGGAAGCCTGCATATAGACAGTCTCCAAAAATCGTGGAACGCTCAAAGTTCCACTTTTTGTTTGTTCCACTGACATATAACGTTTATGGATGTAAAGGACAGCTAGATCTAGCTTAATCGCTTCAGTTCTTAGCAATTTTTGATATAAATGTAATTAAACATAAAAAATACTTAAAACTGAAAAAAAACAAAAGAAATGCGTTAATTTTGAAGAAAAAGCTTCAAAGTTTAACTTCCTTTGTCTCGCCCTTCTGTGAAATTTAACACCGATGAGTCATTGTTTACACATCTGGATGACCTTGAACACAGCTGGAGTCGGATTTCCCGAGGCATTCTCATAGACGTGGCAGGAGGACAAGGGTTTAAAGTAGGGTGAACACTAGCTGGCCGTATATTTTTAAATATTTTTTAAAAATTTGGAGACTTAAAAAACATTCCAAAAAATCAAAAAAAAAATTTCAAAAATTTTAATTAACTCTTCACATCCAGATGTCAGTGATTTGTTTTTAGAGTGAGCTTTTGCAATTCGGGAATTCCCCTTGTATTACTTTTCAATAAAATAAACTGAATTAAGTTTGAATACAAGTTTATTTTAAGCTTTTATATGAATTTCTTTCAGACATTCGAAGTAATTTATTAAGCAACCTATTTTTTTTTAAATTTCTGCAAACTTTTTTATGCGGTTTTAAGTTAATTTTAACTCGTTGTTTTGGTTTTATGCGATTTTAGAAAATTACGGAACGTATCCCTACTTTTTCAAGGCAAGTAAAGTCTTTTTTTATGCGAATTTTTTATATGTGCTTTTCTGTAGAACGTATCCACCGCATAAAACGAGACCTTACAGTATTGTATATACATATATACCCTAGCATACATTATATTAATATATATACTGTTCTGGATTGAATGTTTGATTCCAGATTGATTGCCACCATAGCATAGCAACAGGTTTTTTTTAGCATTCATGCACTGAGTTTTTTGAGCTGTGGAATAAATAAATAAAAATTGTGTTTGTGTTTTTTTTAAATTCAAAATTAGAGTTCAAGAAGCTAGTTGAAATTTCTAGTGATTAAGTTCCTTTGGAATAGAGTATTTAGATTTGGATGGTTGGAATATAAAAATGAAAACTGAGCCACCACATTTTTTTTTTAAATTTGAACCCAAGAATTAACACAAACATACTATAATATTATAATACTATATATATAAGTATAAGGTCAAAGCTATAACAGTTCAATTTTTACCACCAAAAACAATTTCTAGATTACAATCTTTAAATTAGGAATCATTAGAAACTTTAAATTACAATAAAGAAAGCTTATTGAATGAAAGATGTTTCATTTTATTGGTGATGGATCATTGAGTTTGAAGTGAATTTGCTATGTTTAATGCAAATTATTAACAAAGCTTGGAATTTGGACTATTGCAAATTGCTTTACAGAAATAGGTTTCAGTCAAAAATTTGCCGACATTTTGAATAAATCAAAACTGTCATTGGAATTCCTTGATTATATCAAATAAAACTGAATCAATCTCATTATAACAATGAGTAATGAAAAAGAATTTTTCAGAAACTTTGTCAATGGTGACAATGAGTATAGCTATCTAAATACATCATTGCTGAAGTAAAGTAAACAAATAAGTGATAAGGAGGAAGAAAAATCCTGACAAGACCCCTTATATACTGTATGTATATATACATATATTATATAGTGTCAAACTCTGTTATAACAAGTATTAGGGAACTGGAAAGATTTCCTCATTATAACAGTTACTCATTAGATCTGTGAAAAGCAATGATGTTACTAGGGGGAGAATGGGCAGCTGCTTTGAATGCAAACACACAGTGGGTGCCTCATGGGTGGCAAAATTTGTAGCAATGCCACTGATAATTAGTGAAATCTATCTTTTAATTTTAAATAAGTTGATTAAAAAAATACATATGTAATTACATTATACTGTATTTTTATTAATAGTTATATAAACTGCAAAATAATTAATATTAATCAATTTATTGTTTCATAAGTAAAGATAATTAATTTACAGTAATTAACAGTATGCACAATTTTACTTAATCTTTTTATGTAAAAAGCTTAAAATTGATGATTGCTTCAAAGATTTCATTTTCATATTTCTCAAATTTTCTCTTAAAATACTCAACATGTTGAAAGTCTCATTATTTATTTCATTTTCTTCAAAAAGTCTGACTAATGTACCCATTGCCTGTTGAGCTTCAGAAATTGTTAGTATTGGTTTCGATTCTATTTCACTTATTGTATTATCATCACATTCATCACCACCACTATCATTACTGTTGTCTTTATTCAGCACTGCTTGCATGATACCACTCTCAGTAAGATTATCACTAGTTACCAAATTGTCATTGACTTGTAAAATTCATCAATGTCATTATTAAAATCATTAATGTTATTGCATCGCAACCATTCGGATAAATGTATGTTGCTTTCTTTATTTTCATCATCATTTGATATTGAAATTTAATTTGTGTTTAATTTCAGTTTTTAGAAACAATTTGTTATGGTTGTTGAAGTAGCATTGTTCCACACATCACACTTAATAGTTATCTTAATGGTTACTTTATGGCATCCAATATTGATATAAACTCATTAAACTTCTGTTCTCTTTGATGAATTAAATGCAAAACTACAAATCTTTTATAAAATCCTTTCTAACTTTTGATTACACCCATGTCCATCGTTTGTAAAATTGATGTGACATTATGAGACAGAAATGCTAGCCTGATATTGGACAAATTTTGAATTGAGGGATGTGCTGGACAGTTATCAACTAACAATAAATTTTTTTTTTCTTTTTGGATATTCCTTATTCCAATCACTTAGGTACTACCAAAAAAATCTGAAGACATCCAGGCTTTTTGTTTGCAATATAATCTTCAGGAAGATTCTTTATGTTCTTAAAACACCATGGTTTTAATGATTTTCCAATAACTAACACAGGAAAGCACAACCTGCGGCCCACGGGCCACATACGGCCCCCTTTCAATGTTTATGTGGCCCGCAGACAGTACAGGCCAAATCCCTTCTTTCCAAGTTTCTAAGTGTAGAACTTTTTCCCTTTCACAAAGTCATTAGCACCCAATGTTTTATGACTTTCCCAGGTGAGAAATGAGGGGGTTGTTCTATAAATAAGTTCTATTTCTAGTTAACACTTTCTGGTTTAGATATCGAATATTTTAAGTCTAATACATAGTATTATAATGATTTTTTGAAGAATCAAATAGAATAAAATGATGTTAGAACGTCATTTCTGATGTTATCAGAAAGTTTCTATTTTGGTGGGAAATTTTCAATTTTATGCTTCGGAAAACTTGCTTATTTGTCTAAATAGCGTCAAATAACGAAAATAAGTGAAAACAGTGAAAATAGCGCTGAAAAACCATGAAAATAACGATTTTTTAGCATTTGTTTACATTCTAGATTCTGATTGGTATAGTCGAATTTGAATCAATCTTTTCTGAAAAGACGCTTATTCGTCAACCTAATGTCATTCAAACTAGAAAAAACTAACCAGAGTTCAAAAAGGAATGTACAAAAAGCTATAAAACCAATAATTTACAACAATATCTCTCCATAGACAAAGAATAGAAAAAAAATTTTTCACATCAAATTTATTATTATTAAGTTGGACCAAGAAAATTAATACTGTAGTTGGAATAGAGTCATTACGACTAAAAGGAAGCCATTTGCATTAAAATATTTTGGATTTAATAATTATTACAAACCGCGTCAAGCCATAAACTTGTCAACAAAGAGGGTTGTAAAATGATTCCGTGTAGCTAGAAAGCTGCGGTTTTTTTTGTTTGAAAGAAAACAGATATATTTAGGTTATTTAAGTAGTAAATTAATTGGAACTTTTTATTTACTTTTATTTTTACATTCTTTTTTTCGTAAATTTAAAATTAAATTATTATTTTTAATTTTTATTTTATTTGAAATTTAACAGTAGTAAACTGTGATATGTTTGTGACAGAAAACAAAAACAAATTGATTCTAGCGCCAGTTTGAAATGAGACATCACAATTTTAATAATTATATTTAAAAAATTCAGATTTTCTGCTGCACTGCATTAATCACTTATGATTCATTTCTGAACACAGGGGGTAAAAACTGACGGGCCATAAATATAATTTAGGTAAGAATGGTAACCACATTTATGATGGATTAGTGTCCTGCACCTGGCATGTTGACAATCTGACTCACAAATTCTGAGAAATGGTGGAGACGCCCGGACAGAGATCGAACGAATTAAGACATGCCTGGCCATTTGTCATGTGTGCGTAATACTTCTGCCCCACCTCTTTAGTCTTTGGTCAGAGTGGATACAGAACAAAGCACTTGGTAGTCTAGCTTGCCTTATCTCAAACACGATTCATTGCAGGCCTCAGAATTTTCGGCACAATGAGACATTGTTTTGCAGAGTGAACAGTATGGTGCTGGGCATTAAACACAAGGTCAATCGCGAGAATCATCAATTTCAAGAAGTGTGGACTAACAAGTACTGTTTTGTGCAACAGAACAAAAGCATTATTTGCCTCTTGTGCAATGGAACAGTAGCAGTGCCGAAAGAATTCAACCTGAAGCAATATCATGAAAGCCAACACAAGGATTTCCTTCTGCAAGGTATGGAACGTGAATGGAAAATCAAATCGTTATGACGATCACTAATCAGCCAACAAAATGTGTTCAAGAAACAATCTGGAGAATTGGATGCGACCGTTGAAGCCAGTCTAGAAATATCTGCTTTAATAGCCAAGAATGGGAAACCTTTCACAGATGGCGAAATGATAAAAAAGCGTCTTATCATCGCAAGTGAGAAGATGTGTCCTGAGAAGACAAAGTGTTTTCAAACAATCAGTCTTAACCACAGGATAATACAATGGAGAATCTCGCAAATTGCATCAGACATTTCTGGCCAACTTAATATTTTAGTTGCAAACTGTGCTTATTTTTCTTTGGCTGTGGAAGAATCCACTGACATATCATCAACAGCACAAGTGATTGTGTTTATTAGAAGTGTTTCACTAGATTTTATTGTGAATGAAGAATTTCTTGGCATGGCATCACTTTCCGGACATACAACTGGTGCTGACTTACTTACTGGTTTATTGAGCGTTTGCAACAAATCAGCACTGGACTTTGACAAGCTATCCAGCATTGCCACTGATGGAGCACCATCTATGGTTGGATGTGAGAATGGCATGGTCACCTTGCTGAAAAACCACCTTGGGGACAGGCAAAAGGAGTTAGTCCAGTATCATTGCATAATTCACCAACAGCAACTTTGTGCAAAGAAGCTGGGATTTGAACGTCTGCTGAAAGATGTCTATGATACTGTGAACTTAATCCGCCGTCATGGACTCAACCATCGACTCTTCACATCATTTCTTGAAGAAATAGATGCTGATTATGCTGACCTGCCCACGTATACTGAAGTTCGTTGGCTGAGCAAGGCAACAGTCCTCAAGAGATTTGTGGAGCTATTGGGGCCTATTATCACTTTCCTCAAAGAACGGGGGAACACTACAAGGAATTTGGAGGGACAAAGATGGCAGTGTGATTTAGCTTTCCTTGCTGACATTACTGCTTATCTAAACGACCTTAATTTGAGATTGCAGGGAAAGATGCAACTTGTTTCTCAGTTGACAAGTAACATCAATGCATTTATGACCAAACTATCACCTTTCAAGTCCCACATGCAATCAGAGAACTTTACACACTTTCCACATTGCAAGGCCATGAAAGAGAAATATCCACATATGAAAATGGATTACTCTGTCCAAGTTAAAACCCTCCTTACATCATTCAATGAGAGGTTTGGTGAATTCCAGAAATACAAGATCTACCTGCAACTTTTTTCAACTCCATTTGATGTGAAAGTGGAAGATGCCCCTCCAGATGTCCAACTTGAGTTGATAGACATCCAGTGCAGTGATGAATTGAAATCACAGTTTAAAAATTCTAATCTCCTCATATTCTACAAAGAACTGCCAGATACATCATTTTCAAAACTGAAAGACAATGCTTGATTTTGTGCAAGCATGTTTGGCAGTACATATTGCGAACAAGTGTTTTCGCTTATGAATTTAAACAAGTGCAAAACACAGAACAGGTTAACCAATGTGAATTTGGAAAATCTGCTGGTTGTTTCAACATCTGCCATTACGCCAGACAACAAGATTGCCGCCAGCATCCAAACTCAGCCACTGCATTAATCACTTGGAGGTCCAGCCCCCAGTCAGTAAACTTAATCCCAATTTGGCCCTTCTTCAGAAAAGGTTGTGCATCCCTGACTAACAGTTTCTTCTTATCGGTTCCTGTCATATTTGCATATACGAGCACCATCAAGCAATTCTTTGATTTTTTCCACCAACATATTTTTTCCCTTTGAATTCAAATGTGTAGTCAGGTGTCAGATTATAAAAAGTCCCATTTCATCAGCATTGAAGATACCTTCATCATTAAAATCTTTCCTCATTTCTGCCCAAACATGGTCAATCCATTCATTTGCAGTTACTGGATCAGTAGATTAAGATTCTCCACTAATTTTTGAATAAACTTCTGAGTTCACATACTTCTCCCAGCAATGCTTCCACTGTTGGAAGCATTTTTTCAAAGTCATTTATTAGGATCTACTTCAGGCACTTTCTTTGATTGGTCTTAATCTCCTCTGCATCCTGAAATCTCTCTTCTATGAGCAGCATCTTGAGCTTAGAAAAGAGTCAAAAGTTGGCAAAAATGTCTGGGGAGTAAGAAAGCCACTGAACTATTATTCCAATACCATGTTTTGCAAGGAATGTCTTGATGAGACATAATCGATGGACCAGAGCATTGTCATGATGAATGAATCAGTTCCAAGACTGCTAGAATTGTGGTCTGTTGCACCTAACAGCAGGTCATGAACAAACCATGACAAGATAGTACTACTTTGTCACAGTTTGTGCATGTACTCATGATGAACTGTATCCTGGTGGTTGGAAAAAAGGTCATTACCTTCACATTGCTGTGTGATTGTCATACATTCTTTGACTGTAGAAACCACGGCACTTTACATTGAATGATGTGGCTTTGTCTCTGGGTCATACATGTTGACTCAGGTCTCATCTTGTTTATCTTCTTCATGAAATCAGAATCCTTCACATTCTGCCATTTTCACTTAATCACTAATGCAACAATAACAGTGTATACATGCAATTATCACAACTGCCTGGCAGTCTCTCATAACAACTCTAAGTAAGCTCTGCTCCGTCTGACAGTGACTGCAGGTAGGACAGGATTGCCAAAATGCACATATTAAATAGGGTCCAAGGTCACATGACAACAGTCTCCTTTCTCCCCAGCTTGCAAAATCTTGCAAAGAAAATAAGGTCAGTTACTTTTTGATCACAACTTATGTATAGATTACACACAGGGTCTTCCAAAAAGAAATGGGAAGCATGGGAAGAAATCCCTACAAAAACACTCCAACACCTCATTCAGATCATGTGCACAATGTCATTGTCACAAAAGCAGATTCTACCAAGTACTGACTGATTTTCACCATGTGTTGATATTCATGGATATCATAAAGCAAACATGTTTTTATTTATAAAAATTATTTTACAAAAAGCATATGTTTTTTCAAAAAGTCAGGTATTTTTATTTGCTACACTTATGTATAAAAATTTTTCTTTTAATAAGCATTTTACATATATATAGCAGAATATCTAGACTATTATTTATGAATAGACTAGATCAGGGGTCACCAAACTTTTTTAACCGTTGACCCCCAATCAATTTCCAAAGCCTCACATTGACCCTCACTGTAAAGTTTTATTACAAGTGTATATGTATGAACAAAAAAATAAAAAAAAACGTTGTAGGTTGTGGTCTCTGTCTAAGCAGAAAAAAAAAAAAAAGGTTGCGACCCCTTAGCCACATCGACCCCCCCAATGATGTTGCATCGACCCCTGGGGGTCCATATCGACCACTTTGGCAACCCCTGGGGGGGTCCATATCGACCACTTTGGTGACCCCTGGACTAGATTAATTAACAAGCACAGTTTTATTAACTACACTCTCACTATTAATAATATATATATATATGAATTAAACTTAATCAATATTATTAATTCATTCATTCAATGTAAGTTAACATAAAATTAGTGAACTGTTTTAAAAAAAATTTTATCCATTAATTCTTTGGTTATTTATGGTATTTATTATAAAGAATATAAATTATACTAACTTATTTTTGTACTTAAAGAAATCTTTTATAATAACAACTGAAATTAAATTCATTGTTTTTCATTTTAAGCAATTATATTATTCATTTTATAAATTTATTTGTAAAAGTAATTAAGGTTTTACCATTTCGAGTCACTAAAAATTGCTTGTCCTTTGGTAAATAAGTTTTGAGTTTCGATTCTTCTCCAACAGCCCACTGCCAAGTAGGACAATGATGAACAAGATGATCTCCTGCTATAATAAACTAATAAAACAAGTTTTTTTTAAACAACAATTATAAACTTTTTTAAATTATAATCTATGAGTCATTATGTTAACAATATAAATGTAAACAAATTTTTGAAGTTTTAAATATATATTCCAAACACATTAAGATAGTGGATTCAAAAAGATAAATCTAAATATAATTATTACACTTAAATGAATAACATTTTAAAATTTTCAATTTAATAACAACCCAGACATTCCTCATTTAACATGCATTTGCATCATCACAGTTGACAGCAAGCATATGTTGATAGGCATTTGTTTTCTCTACCATGAATATTAGCGTTTGTTTTAATTTTTGTTTAACGACAATTAGATGCTTTGGTTAACCATATAGGTGAATTTAACAACAAAATTTAATTCTCTGTTCAACAATCAAGAAAGAAATTAATTTTAACAAAATACTACTGGTAAATTCAATCAATAAAAACAAAAGCATAGATACTTAAAATTATTAATTAAATTAAGTAAATTTATCAAGAATTGTTTTAAAAATTAATTTTTTAATTCTAGAAATATTATGTTTTGAATAAAATCAAGTTATAGAAGTTATTATTCATGCGAGCCCGAGGGTTTTGAGGGCATAAATTTTTGAGTTTAACATATTTTTACATTAGAGGATGAAAAAAAATTATTGCAAGTTATAACGGAAATAGATCAGATGTTGAATCTTACACATCGACAAGGTAGGAAGAAAGAAAATCAAGTCATTGTCTGTCTGTTAATTAGTCAATCTGCGCGTGCTAATTAGTCATCATAACGAGCGAACGACCAGTTGGCTCAGTGCCAATGACAATTGTATAAAAACAATCGTCATGGGAAGTTCAGGGCGATCATCCCCTCAGTGCACCATCCCTCCGCACGATCATCAGGAAGGTCTGAGTACAAGTGTCTCCCGTCCCGGTCCTGTCAGAGGAGGTAAGAAGGTAAAAGACATAAGCCTGTGATAGCCAGCCAGCATCCATAGTCCAGAATGATCGTCGCATACCATCATCCAACATAAGATATACCTGTCCACAAATATAACTATCACTCTAGAGCCTTTGTAAACTCTCTCACGCGGCATAGTGACTAGTTAGATCGCTGTTACAGATAGATTTGTGTTATCCACATTTGAGCATTAAGTCTGTAACTTCCTTATGTATACCTGTAAATTAACTTTAGTTATAGAATAAACCTTTATTTTTTTATTTGTTAAACCTGTCTCCTGTCTATCCGAGGAAACCTGTCGACTTACCGATGCGCTCCCCACTCAATTTGCCCTCCTAGCCATCCAACGACTCCAAGATTGAGATTTACCAGCCCGTGCAGATTAAGTGGTCAGTACCAGATTAACTCCTGACCCACTGCTTATCTCACATTCACATGGGAACAGAAGCAGACATAAAAACACAACCAGAAATGATGTGACATGTGTTATTAAAATCTCACAAGTTAATCACTAATGAATTACAAGATGCTGAATTTATTGTTTTTCTTCAAAATGAACAACACCAAACGAGCACAAAGTGTCAAGCATTAAAGTGTTAAAATAAGCTTTTTCTTTCTGCAGCAAATATGCAAATATTTTACAATGTGATGACAATTATGATTTTTCCAGATTTGATACTGTAAAAGGAGAGTGAGAGGGAGATAATTTTATAAATGCTTATAAGCAAATTTTACAGATAAAGGGGAGACTGGCAAAGCAAACAACTTTCAATTTTTTTTAATTTTTGGAAAAATAAATATATTTTAATAATATGTATGTCCAGAATCATCATATACTTTTAATGAAAGTTTTGTAAAACTAAACTTAATTTTTATTTGTTCAAAAAATAATATAAACAAAAAATTAAAAAATAACATACACAACATGAAAATACGATATTCCTGTTTAATTAATACAGAAATTTACTTAATGTGCTTTCCTTTGGAATACATTCCCCCGTGTTAAATGGAGAATACATACAATATGAATAAAAAAAACTATAAAAATAATTCTATTTAAAAACCCAAAAACAGATTTCTAAGGAAACTAAAATGTTTATTGAAAAAGAAATGTTTCCAGACTAATTTAGCCCAGTATTAGCTCTTCAAATAAAACATATACAATTCAAAAAACAGAATATAATAATACAATTTCAACTTTTAAAGTATAATTTACTTTTGAGTATAAAACTTTATGAATGTGTTAATATTTATAAATAAAACTTATTTATTTTGAAGCTTCACTATTAAGTTAAATAGCATCTACATCATACGTAAACTTTAAGCAAATTTTGCTAGTAATTTCATATAATAAGTGGAGAAAGCTGTGTTATCTAGCAATTCCAAGCTATATATATATATATATAAACTTCCAATAGCATCAACCTCTAGACCAAATTACTTGACTTTTAATTAATAATTAACATTATTATAGCCTAATGTAATCAAACAATCATCTGGCATCTACCTGTATATCTCGTGCATCATGAATTTTAATTATTTTTAGAGAATACATGAATATGTGAGCTCTATAAATATAAACTGAAAGTATAACTTTACTTCTCTAATTAAAATATAATTATTCTACACTACTTAAACTATATTCTATTGTCCACTGTGATAAAGTGGATATTGGCTGGATGTCTTTAGTAACTGAAATGTAAAGCTCTTTGATCTTAGATAAGAATTCATTTTTTGAACATAGTACTAATTTGAAGCAGTTCTTAAATTCTATTTAATTTCTATAATGAAAACTTCCATAAAATTTTTAAAAATTCATAACACTTTAATTAGAATAATCTGTCATGAAAATTAATTAACATTTAATCAATGGACTGTTGTAATCCATTACATTTTTCAACTTTTCATATTTTTATATTTACTTAATTAAATCCCGTGACTTTATTTGTAATAAAATTTTCAATCACTATAAAGATGTCATCAATAATCTATTAAATTAAAACTTTTAAGGATATGCTTGATACTTTGTACTCAATTCCTCTTAAAAATTAAAACATATCTTAAAATATTTTATTTTGAAATGATGCACATAGATAAATATAGATATAGATAAAATTAATAAGATACAAAATATAGATATGAAATTTGTGTAAGATAAATACAGTAAAACTTCTCTAACTCAAAGCTCCAAGGGACAAGAAAAACTTTTGAGTTATAGAACAATAGAGTAAAAAATTCTGATTCTGAATAATTTGTAATTTTAACTTTCTTGCATTATATAAAGAACCTTTCATAGTTTTTTCTGTATAATGCCTTTCAGCAAAATGTTCAATGTAACTAATGGAATTGAACAGTTTTGCAGGTACTGTACATCTTGAGATGATAAAGCAAGAGGACCTTTTGCTTTAGACTAGAACAAATTTGTGTTGAGAGTAGATACAACTAACTGTCTGAAAATTTCATGGAAATCCAGTAATTAGGATCACTTTGAATAGAATAAATATTAAAAATGTCAGAGACCATGAATAACTTCAACTAGGAGAAAATTCAAGTTAAGAAATTCAAGTTGAAGACATTAAATTCCTATGCTATTCCATTGAAACCTACTAAGTGCATCATTTTCTTTGAGTTAAAGAAATATTTGAGTTAGAGAAGTCATACATATATTGGGTTGTTCGGAAAGTAAGTTCGTTTTTTTTTTACCACTAGACGGATTAGTGGTATTTTTCCCACCATTTTTGTTCTAAACCGTATTATCATTATATATTTTCACAGCTAGCATTTTATGGATTATTTGTAAAAAATTTTGTTTGATTTTGTGCAATTGTTTATTTTTTGTGTCCCATCAAATTTGGAAGATCGAAAGCAGCATCTTCAGCATATTTTGCTTTTTTATTACCAAAAAAATAAAAATGCCGTTCAAGCAAGAAAAAAATTGTGTGACATGTATGGTGGAGATGTGTTGACAGAACGACAGTGCCAAAACTGGTTTACAAAGTTTTGTTCTCGTAATTTCAGTATTGAAGATGCACCACGTTATGAATGGCCAGTTGAAGCCAACGAAAACAAAATAAAGGTACCGATTGAAGCAAACTGCGGAATAACAACATGTGAAATCACTAAGAGATAAAATTTGCCAAATTGAACTGTTTATGAGTACTTGAAACAAATTGGTTTGGTTTCAAAGCTTGATATATGAAATCCACGAGTTCTTAAAGAGAAATGCTCTATTTGGTGGGATATTAAGGAAATTTTTTTTGGAGCTTTTACCAGACAATTTAACAATTGATTCGAAAGTGTACTGCATTCGAGTAAACAAATTGCGTAATATCATCAAACAGAAAAAGCCAGCCAGAATTGATAAAAAAAAAAGCTGTAGTGTTTTACCACAATAATGTCAAATTTCA